GTGTTAGTGGAGTGATGGGCATTGATCTTATGAAGATATAGTGTAGACCCAGACCCACTCTGTCATCATTTGTTGTTTTCAGGATCCATTACTATCTATGTGCAGCTATTGAAAGAGTTTATTTGAACAAAAAACAGAAGTATTAATAATTGCTGTTATCTATGGTCCCATGGGGATATTAATGGTACCTTTTTGGTGGTCATGTTAATGCTCTATTGTATTAGTGACTCATGTGCCATGCACTGAGAGAGAATGTTATCTTTTTGGTGGTCATGTTAATGCTCTATTGTATTAGTGATTGATGTGCCATGCACTGATAGAGAATGTTACCTTTTTGGTGGTCATGTTAATGCTCTATTGTATTAGTGATTGATGTGCCATGCACTGAGAGAGAATGTTATCTTTTTGGTGGTCATGTTAATGCTCTATTGTATTAGTGATTGATGTGCCATGCACTGAGAGAGAATGTTATCTGTTGGGAAGTCATGTGCCATGCACTGAGAGAGAATGTTATCTGTTGGGAAGTCATGTGCCATGCACTGAGACTGAGAGAGAATGTTATCTGTTGGGAAGTCATGTGCCATGCACTGAGACTGAGAGAGAATGTTATCTGTTGGGAAGTCATGTGCCATGGACTGAGAGAGAATGTTATCTGTTGGGAAGTCATGTGCCATGCACTGAGAGAGAATGTTATCTGTTGGGAAGTCATGTGCCATGCACTGAGAGAGAATGTTATGCTGTGATAAAATGCTACATTCAAACCACTGGCTCGCCAAGGCGTGTCAACCCCCCCGCTAAAAGAGGATGGGGGTTCTTAAACTTCTGGTCTGTGGACACACAAACCACTGGCTCGCCTTGGCATCATCCATTCTATCAGGGGCTCTTAAACGTCTATGGATGGGAATTTAGGAAGGATGAAAAAAGAATGGTGTTTCAGTATGGCAAGCTGAAATTGTTTTATCAGTGGCTTCATCGGTGGCTTCATCAGTGACTTCATCAGTGGCTTCATTGGTAAACCAACAGGGGTCCATATTACAGAAATATGTGAAGAATCCCCGCATTACAATTATGTACTGACACATGTGAGAAACGTGTTCAGAATACTGCCCTATCATACAGAATACTGCCCTATCTTACAGAATACTGCTCTATTTGGGCGCATTNCCCCCCCCGCTAAAAGAGGATAGGGGTTCTTAAACTTCTGGTCTGTGGACACACAAACCACTGGCTCGCCTTGGCATCATCCATTCTATCAGGGGCTCTTAAACGTCTATGGATGGGAATTTAGGAAGGATGAAAAAAGAATGGTGTTTCAGTATGGCAAGCTGAAATTGTTTTATCAGTGGCTTCATCGGTGGCTTCATCAGTGACTTCATCAGTGGCTTCATTGGTAAACCAACAGGGGTCCATATTACAGAAATATGTGAAGAATCCCCGCATTACAATTATGTACTGACACATGTGAGAAACGTGTTCAGAATACTGCCCTATCATACAGAATACTGCCCTATCTTACAGAATACTGCTCTATTTGGGCGCATTGCCCATGTTATGTGTACAGCACCAGCTATGATGCGTGCAGCACCGGCTACGATGTATGCAGCACCGGCTGCGATGCATGCAGCACCGGCTATGTTGTATGCAGATCACCCGCAGGGATGTTGTTTCTTCAGTGGAGTCTCATCAACCACCATAGCTCTGTGTCAAGTCATTCACCACCGTCTTAATTTTCCCTTTGTTGTAAATTGATCAGAATGGGGATCGGGGACCATAAAAGACACAGTTTACGTTCTGAGGGTCGGTCACAGGGGACACCGACAGTCAAAGTTGGGAGTTTACGTTCTGAGGGTCGGTCACAGGGGTCACCGACAGTCAAAGTTGGGAGTTTACGTTCTGAGGGTCGGTCACAGGGGACACCGACAGTCAAAGTTGGGAGTTTACGTTCTGAGGGTCGGTCACAGGGGACACCGACAGTCAAAGTTGGGAGTTTACGTTCTGAGGGTCGGTCACAGGGGACACCGACAGTCAAAGTTGGGAAAACCCCCATTGACTGGGTGAGCCCACTGGTCGTTAAATTTACGTTTCAATTGACGAACTTGCCCGAAAGGAATCTTAGCATGCCGGCATGCAATCTTTACTGTTTCTTCACTTTTGAAAATTTTTTGATCACTAAAATTGTTCAGTTTGATGGAAAGTTTGGTTTAAAAATATGTATTTATTTTTTTAAATACACCTGAAAGTGTGAAGTGCAGGTGTACACACTGTCAGATCAGATACAGTTTCATAATGTGTGGCCCAGGCCTCATTGTGACCTGGATGCTGCACTGTGCATGTATACATAGTTGTATAGAGATCATGTTGACAAAGAATTGCTTTCAAACATTTCTGCCCAGTACAGTAGACCAGTCAATGTTTCTACATGTTGGCAAATAACTTTAGGTCTGTTGTATTAGTACAAAATATGATAACAATAAACTTTTTTATGTGATGGTTAGTCCGGCTCTCATGACTTTGTTGACATGTGCGTACGTGGAGATTTGTTGACATGTAGGTTTATATGAAGACCTGTTGACATGTGCGCGTATATGAAGGTTTTTTGACGAGTGTGTATTTACTGAAATGTATGTTTATGTGAAGATTTCTTGACGTGTGTGTATATGAAGTTTCCTGACATGTGTATATATTATTATTATTATATTATCAAAGCGGTCTTATATAGCGCAGTACCCCAGGCAAGGGCTACGCTCACCGCGCCTCACATAAAAATTAGCAGTTACGGAAAATTATACATATAAAAAGATCCTTGTAAAAAGATTGACCTCACCCACCCCAGTAATGTCTTGCCATGGACAGCAACCAGCAGCATCGAGCATTGTTCGTCAGTCGCGCGGGAGGGGGGGGGGTGGTGATAATTAGTTTTGAAGGCTCGGATGGCCGGTATATTGTGGATGTGTAATGGGAGAGGATTCCATGGGTTTAGGGCAGGGAAAGGGAAAGATAGTTCACCGCATTTGTATATGTGAGGGGGGGGGGGGGGGGTGGTGATAATTAGTTTTGAAGGCTCGGATGGCCGGTATATTGTGGATGTGTAATGGGAGAGGATTCCATTGTTTTAGGGCAGGGAAAGGGAAAGATAGTTCACCGCATTTGTATATGTGGTATGAATATTTATTGACATGTGTGTATATGATGTGTTAACATTTGTGTGTATATGAAAATTTGTTGACATGTGTGTATATGATGTGTTAACATTTGTGTGTATTTGAAGATTTGTTGACGTGTGTGTATATGAAGATTTGTTGACAGTGTGTATGTAAAGATTTGTTGACATGTGTGTATATGAAGATTTTTTTAACATGTGGGTATATGAAGATTTGTTGACATGTGGGTATATGAACATTTGTTAACATGTGGGTATATGAAGATTTGTTGACATGTGGGTATATGAACATTTATTGACATGTGTGTATAATGTATATGAAGATTTGTTGACATGTGGTTATATGATTTGTTGACATGTGTGTGTATATGAAGATTTGTTAACATGTGTGCATATATGAAGATTTGTTGACATGTGTGCATATATGAAGATTTGTTGACATGTGTGCATATATGAAGATTTGTTGACATGTGGGTATATGATTTTTTGACATGTGGATATATGAAGACTGGTTGACATGTGTATATATGAAGATTTGTTGACATGTGTGCATATATGAAGATTTGTTGACATGTGTGCATATATGAAGATTTGTTGACATGTGTGTATATGAAGATTTGTTAACATGTTATAAAGATGTGTTGAGCGTCAGGAATATCCCCAGCTTATTTTTCCATGTTCAATGCCTATTCTTTTCCAATACCTAATCTTACGTCTTAATTTTCATCATCTCTCCAGTCCTCTAATACCCCCCTTACATCTCCCTTTTAATCATCTATCTTGTCCTCCAATGTCTCACCTTACCTCTCCCTTGTAATCATTTATCTTGTCCTCCAATGCCCCACCTCACCTCTCCCTTTGAATCATCTATCTTGTCCTCCAATGCCCCACCTCACCTCTCCACTTCATTATTTTTCCATGTCCTCTAATACCCCACCTTACCCGCCCTGCCCATTACACATTACGTTCCCTACCGTGTACGACGAGTGCAGTTGTTTCCCCTGTCCGATTCTGTGTCCTGTTTTAGTTTTTTACTAACGGCTATCAAA